TTTTGAGAGCACCTTGATGATTTTGTTGACATCTATCTAGATAATATTTTGATATTTTCTAAGAATATAAAAGAGCATGAGAAATATGTTCTTCTGGTCTTTGAAAGACTCTCCAAGTGAGGACTTTATGCCAAGTTAGAAAAGTGCTTGTTTAACCAAACTAAGATGGAATTTTTGGGATACATTGCAACTACCGAAGGCTTGAAGATGGATCCTAAGAAGGTGGAAGCAATCATATCATGAGAAGTTCCAAAGACGATTAGAGATGTACAATGCTTTCTTGGCTTTGCTAACTTCTATCAGATCTTCATGAAGAATTATTCTCAAGTTGCTGCTCTGCTCACTTGGTTGACATGTAAAGACAAGCTTGAATGGAGACCTCTAGCGGAAAAAACATTTCAAGATCTTAAGACAATATTTACTATGGCTCCAATCTTGATACATCCAAACTTTGCAAAGGCCTTCTATTTAAAGACTAATGCTTCATATTTTGCTATAAGAAATGTACTTTTGTAGATAGGTGCAAACAAGAAGCTTCATCTAGTTGCATTCTACTCTCAAAAGTTTTCTGCTGTCGAGATCAACTATGAGATCCACGATAAAGAACTTCTTGTGATAGTGGATTCTTTCCAAGAGTGGTGTCACTTTCTCGAAGGAGTTGCGCAACTAGTCACCATATACACGGATCACAAGAATTTTGAGTACTTCATGTCGGTTTGGGTTCTAAATTATTGTCAAGCTTGATGGAATATGTTACTATCCAGGTTTGACTTTGTTATTACTTATTGGCCTTGAAAGCAATAAGGACTATCCGATGCATTATCAACGAGATTGTATCTAGCACCAAAGGCTGGAGAAGTAGTGTTTGATCAATAGTGTACAACATTGTTGAAGTCGAAATAATTCAAGCTTTGCTCTGCTATAGTACCAATTGATGCTGACTTCTTCAACCAAGTACGTACTACAACTATTAGAAATTCTGTAGTCCTCAATATCTTGCAACGTATCAATAATGATAAATTCAAGGTGGAAGGAGATCTTTTATACTTTGAGAAGTGGTTGTATATTCTAAAGGGACCAACATAACTCCCAGTTCTCCAATCTTGATATGACTTTCTAACTACAGGACATTTTGGATTCAATAAGACCTTGGAACTTATTCTCAAGATTTTTGGTGGCTCCAAATGTGGAAGGATGTCAAGGATTTTGTCCTCTCCTATGACATTTATTCAAGATCCAAGAACTCTCGGCATCGTCCTTATGGTCTTCTTCAACCATTACCTATTCCACATCGGCCATGGTCTTCAGTTTCCATGGACTTCATTACGGACCTGCCGCCATCGAATTCATTTGACAACATCTTTGTTATGGTAGATCGGCTTACAAAGTTGGCACACTTTGTCCTTTATTAGAAAACATCGTCAATCAAAGACACAGCAAGGCTCTTCTTTGATAGTGTGTATTGATATCATGGTTTATCAGATAATATCACGTCGGATCGAGGAATCAAAGTTTTGGAGATCTCTCTTTGAGATATTGAAGGTGGATATCAAGCTTTCTTCGACTTTCCATCCTCAAACTAACGGCCAAATAGAACGAGTGAATCAAACTTTAGAGCAATATTTATGATGTAGCATCAACTATCAGCAAGGTGATTGGACTGCATATCTATTGTTAGTCGAGTTTGCATATAACAACATCCTTCATGCATCGATTCAATAAACACCATTCTTTTCCAACTATAGGTATCATCCGAAGCTTGATTTGTTGAATCCGTCAACTAGTAACAACCCGGCAGCTAAAGAATTTGTGAAACAATTATCAGAGCTTCAAACTACGTTGAAGCTTCAATTGCAAATTGCCCAAGAAGCTTACAAGGCATCCACAGACTAATTTCAGAATCAAGCACCTACTTTCAAAATTAGAGATAAAGTATGACTACTTTGATGGAATATCAAAACCAAGCAGCCATGTGATAAGTTGGACTACCGAAGATTGGGACCATTTGTCATCCAGAAGCAAATCAATCCAATGGCATACTGTCTAGGGTTACTGGCTACTATAAAAGGTACACCTAGTCTTTCATGTTTCTTTATGGGAGCCTTATTGAGAGTCATCTTTTCGTCGAAGAGTATAATGTCCACCACCTAGTATTGAAATTGAGAACCATGAAGAATATGAGATAGAAAAGGTACTAGATTTGTAGTGTAAGTGGAGGAAATTGGAGTACCTATGCATTAGAGAGGCAATGATATCAATGAGTGTACATGGGAACTAGCAAAAAATCTTATTAATGCATCTCAAAAGGTACAAGATTTTTATCGACTCTATCTTTAGAAATTTAAGCCTTTTTGATGAAAGTTTTTCTAGTGAAGTCCCTTCTCCTTGAAGCCTCTTAATCCTCAGCCTTACAAAGAAGAGAGAGAAGGAATCTCTAAAAGACATAGTTAAAGACTATAAATCTGTAACTTGAGCCCATTCTTCCATGTTTAGTGCTTATTTTTTCGATTTGATATGGATAGCCAAGAGATAGATACCATATCAATCATATCCTCTCAACCGAGTATCTCATGAAGACGACCCCAAGATGAAGAACCACATGTACCACGAAGACAACGGAGGATACATAGTAATAGGTTGTTAGTGATTGTGCTTGAGGTAGAACCTGCCTATGGTGATCTTCTCGAAGGAGTTTTTGCAAGGTATTTTTACAATAAAGACACGGAAGTTCATGCCTAGTTAGAAATTGAAGGTATAGGATACTATCGTTGATTACAAGGACCAATGAACTACTTGCCATGCAAACAACAATTGGAGTATATTGCAGACACTATGGGACAAATTTTTAACTTCTTATATTGGTACCACCTCGCAATAGGAGTGCTTCTCAGAGACCTCAAAGTTAAAGGGGGAGGGGGTGATGTCAAGGACATATACTAGGAAGTTGTAGAAGATTCTAGAAGGTTTTAAAGAAGCTTTGTAGTTTGTAGAAGCTACTTGAGAAGTTTTCAAGCTCGCGGAAGTTGCTTGAGAAGCTTCCTAATTCGTAGAAGCTGCTTGAGAAGCTTCGTAGTTTGTGGAAGCTATTGAGAAGCTTTTTAGTTTGTAGTATATATAAGAACCGAGACTAAGGGGATCCTTAGTCTCGACCACATACCTCTTGGAACTTTAGCTCACCTCTCTAGTATTGTTCTTGTACTTATCTGATTAATCTAGTTCTTGCCGATTCTTCTTAAGCTTCTTGTTTAGATTTCTAGTCAGTATTCTAAATTTGTGACACTAAGGGCTTTATCAATCTAATCTATGTTGCAAGCAAGGTTTTGGAATTCAACAACATAGATAGTAGGTGATCATGGCTCTTACTATAATTATTGTAGTTTTTTTTATTATTTTTTTTTATTTTTTTATGCCTATCACTCTTGAACTTTGATAATAATACAAAAAATGTATTGATAAGAATGAAGAAGGACTTACTTTTGCCTATAAACATAGTATTTATTAAAAAACTATGTATAAATATTTTATAAGCTATATGACATGCATTTAATTTGCTTGTCACATATCTAATTTGTAGTAATAGTTTTTGATGTGTACACTATATGACCAACTTATAATACAAATCAACTAAATGTGCAACATGTGACTAATTTTTTAGCTAAGTTGTCAACCTACTAATTACGCATTACCATATGTAAAAATTATAAAGCTTTTAAAAAGCTTTTCAATGAGATATAATTTTTTTAATATACTTCTACTTCTATTTAATTCTACTTATCTAAACTTACTAAAATTTAGATTAAATACCTTTGATCTATTCATTTCATGTTGGAATTATCTTTATGAATACTTAATATTCTAATAGCTTTTAGTTATGTGGATTAAAAAGTCTTATATTACAAAATATAAATCTATTAGCTTCTTCATTTTTACCGTTAGTATCTTCTAAATGCAGTAGAGAGAATTTACATCTTACAATCTTGACTTAGAGTCTTGCACATGTGTACACTTTAATATAATAAGGACTTATAGCATTACATTAGATTATTGCACCTTGTCTAACTATTCAATATATAGATATTTTTTTGGTAAAGCATTCATATTTTTATTTTATAACCTAGATATACATATGATACATCAATTAAATATTTCAATTCAATTAACTATAAGCATAGTATTTCTACAAGATTATGTTTTTGGCTTTCATTATATACAATACCTAAAAAATTAGATTTTTGTAATCATCATGTATATAATATCAATTATAAGTGGTAACTAATTTAAATAATTTATTTTTATAGAAAAAACATATAATAAAAGATCTTTTTATTGCCAAATGTTTATTTTTATTAAAAGTAGTTTTTCAAAATAAAATTTTAAAAAATTTATAAAATTTATAAGAAATATATTATTTTAAAATTTATAATATTTTTGATATTTATAATCATTTGAATAATTATTTACTATATATATGTATATATATATATACATACAAATATATATACATCATATACATACATACATACATTTACAAAAGTTATATTATTTGGTTTCAAAAATAAATTACTTTAAAAATTTTCACCTAGAATTATCAAGTATATTTATAATCATGGTGTAGTGTTAGAAATATTTGTATGAATTTGATAAAAATGAAGAAGTTTCAGAAAATTCGTGAAATAAAATTAAAACTAGTATAAAATTACAAAATTATTTTAAATTTCTATTCATTGAAATAAACCAGAGATTTTTTTTTTTTTTTTTATTAATTCTTTAAGCATATGCTTTTCATAATTAAAGAAGATTATTCTAGATGAGTTGGATTGGATCCTTCGTTCATGGGGGGGGGGAATCCAGCATCATCCACGATCCCTCATCCACATAGTCACTCTATGTCACTGGCAAATTCATTCGTTCACTTATTATCCATGGAACCATCCCATCCATAATATCATTCATCCAATGAGCCAAGGGCCAGAATCTTGAAAGTTCTTGGAAGGCCAATCTTGCTGTGGAACTATCGCTCTTCCGACTCATCGCTACTCGCAATGCGATCATCAATTCATTGTTTTGACGCTGCCAATTGACAGTCGGATGATGCTGTCCAACTCAGTTAGTCTGAGGCTCTATCTTCATGATTGAACAGTTTACTGGCCTGGATTTGAAGAACTGATCTGTCTAGTATTTTTCTTGCTGTCTTAGGCTATGTTTGCGAGGTTTAGAGTTGTGGGATTGTGGGGTCAGTCGTTTTTTGGAATTTACTAGAGTGATTAGTATTTTTAAGATGGATTTTTCGATTGTGACTATGTTTAGGTTGGGTTGATGTTGGGTTGAGAGTATAGAGTTAGGGCTGGAAGTTTGGGCGGAGCTAGGGAGTATGTGGAGGTGAGTTTATGAGTGAGTGAGTGAAGAGGCGAGGTCAAGAAAGAGGATGAATTTCGGAGGTGATGGTTCGGCTGGGACGAATTTGCGCCGAGATCCCTTCAAATCGTCAGGTATAATCCTTTCCTGCTTCTCGTCTTTCTCAGGTTGAATCTGTCTCAATTCCATTTTGCAGCCTGCGTTTGAATTTCAAATTAAAGCACGCTGGCTGAATCGTGGATTTTTTTTTCATTATGTCTTGAAGGTCTTTGAATTTTATCAGTAAGGTTCTGAGAAACACTTTTTCTGAAGTGTACCATCATGTAGTTAAGCTATGTATACGATTCACTTTTCAGGGATACAGCCCCAATTTGTCTTGTGAAGCTGTTGTTGATCACGATGTAGCAAATTGAGAAACACTTAGCCGCAGTGATATTGAAGTACCCTGTGGTCCCCGTCCTGGAATGTCGATGATTCGTATAGTGAATATGGGTTTTGTGCAGTGGGAAAAGGTGCTGGACAGAGGAGACGGCAAGCAGCCTTAACTGTTGGAAAAGACCGACGGGAGTCTGTTGTTCGGGCGAAGCGGCTGAGAAGGGCAGATCCTGCAGAGCAATGGGATGGTGATGCCATGCATATTGTTACAGATGGCGCAGATGATGAAGCTGCATACAAAGACCTCGAGGACAAAACTGTCGCTGCTGTTCTCAACCTCAAAGACTTGTACGCTCAGCGTTTTTTTCTCTGAGTGTCTATTTAATCAAATCATCGTTTGTCTTAAATCTGTATATGCTGTTGTGATTGTTGAATGCAGTTAACATGATAAATGTGTGTATGCCAACTGATAAGATTCTTTGCATCGTATTTTCACTACAAGAATAAGAAGTGAGTGTTAAGCTCATTGCATTCTGGCGAATAATTTCTGTATGGACTTTTCCTCGTCTTTGCAGTCACAGTTTACCGTCAAAGTCTCTGGACGGTGCGATTTTTATACTTCGATACAGCTCTTATTTTCTTGATTCAATGCGAGTGACTCACTTTGTTGTGGCTTTGTAAAGAGCAAAAGAAAACACTGCAAAGAGAATAGAGGCTTTGCAGATCTTGAGGCGACTATTGTCGTGCTCTGCGTATCCACCAGTTCATGTTGCTGTGCAAGCTGGTGTTGTGCCTCTTCTTGTCGATTGCCTGGGTTTGGATGCCACTGAAGATCAGGTATATCTTTGAACTTGGTATCACAGTAATGCTGTGGTCATTGCAATTCAGTTAATCATTATGATTGTGCTCTTACGTGTGTGCGTTTGTAGAAGCGATGATTTCTGCAATGATACGGGCCGCTAGTCATTTTGTACATTGACATGTTTTTTTGTGATATTTCTTGTAGCTGTTAGAGGCAGCATGGTGCTTGACCAACATTGCCTCTGGAGATCCTGAACAAACACGTGCTGTGAAGCCAGCGTTGCCTCTTCTTATCATTCGTCTTGGAGGTCAGGATCTACTTCTATGAAATACCGGCAATGCAAACAAGACTTGCATTTATAATGCTGCGATTGAGGAGAAGGGCGACTAGAAAATATTTTGGCATTAACTCCACCTGTTTGAAGTTTCTCTTTGATGGTATACATGGAGACAGCATGTAATAGATATGAGACATTGTTTTCAGAAGTTTCCATAACTTGCGGTTCTAGTCAGATTACATGATACATTGTCGTTGGCAAGCTCTTCATTTTATCTTACAGCATAGCTTGATTTACCATGGTCTTAATGCCGTGATAACTGGTTGTGTAAATATCTGAGGCCTCGGAATTGTTAAGGTTCAGTGGTGCTGGTTGTAGAGAGCAAGTTTTAAAGCGTGTACGTTATGGATTTGATGAAGGCAGAGAATACTCCAGCCCAGGTGGTAGAGCAGTGTGCTTGGGCAATCGGCAATGTGGCTGGAGAAGCGGAAGACCTACGCGATTGTTTGTTTCAACTAGGTGCTCTTTCTGCACTGGCGCGCAATCTCTCCTCTCCCATAATCACTCTGGCTCGCACAGCTGCTTGGGCTTTATCGAACCTTATTAAGGTAGCTTAGTTTCATGATGCTTCCATTGTGCAAGTCAAGTGAAGAGCAATTGACTTCATCTCAAAATAACTTTGTGCTTATACTATGTGTTTGTGCTCTAAGTTTTAAGTTTTTGCTGAGGTCACGCACAATGATTATTTTTCTGTTGCAATCATCGTCGATGAATAAATCGTGGCTTCATTTTCATGGCCTTCTTGCAGGGACCCAACCCTAGAGCAGTGTTAGAGCTCATGGAAATGGACGGCATTATTGATATTCTTGGTCGACTCGTATCAAACGGGTAGGCTTTCTTCGTCATTGTCTATTCTAGTTTGTGCTGTACTATGAAATAGATTGCGGGGAATCTGTCTGCTTTCGGAGGCAATTGCTGTGTTGGATATATATTTTGTATCCTACAAATTTTTGCAGATGAATTGTTGCTTTGGTCACTAGTGTGACAAAAACATTTTCACTCGGGATGAGTGCATCCTGAGCTGAGTGTTGATGCGCACCGGTTTTTTCTTGACGTTGGTACGTACTATTTTGTGGTCTCCAGGGATGACGAATTGGTGGTGGAAGTTGCGTGGGTTCTGGTCTACGTGACATCCATGTCTGATGTACATTGTAGTCAAATCATCCATGCTGGTCTTCTCGCACCTCTTGTGGCCCGCCTGACCCATTGCCGCCGACATCACCCTTTAATGATACCGGTATCGTTTCTATGCCAAAGTTGTATATCTTTTGTCGGCTCTTCTGTTCCACTGTTTTGCATGATTGTTGATCCTTTATGTGTTCGAGGTGTATCGTGTATTAACGTATTTGTCAGGCTCCACGGGGCTCCTATTGACATTTGTCCTTGGAATTCATGTCGGAAGATTCTACGATGCATCGGTAACATTGTAGCCAGTGACAATTCGAAGTGTGATGATGTGTTACTTGCTGGTCAGTCCCTTCCAGGTGAGTGCTCCTCTCATATGTTCCACTTTAATATTCCAAGATATAATTTAAATGTTGAATACATTTTTGATAGTGGAAACAACCTTGGTTTTGTTCCGCCTTCCTCCCGTTCTCTATCCCTGTTATTGAATTTTCCCTACGTGTCCACAATCATCAAGCTGTGAGAGTAAATATAAAGTATTCCCTGGGATGTATTATTTAAAGCTTCTTGTTTGAACAGGTGGAATTATTGGTGCCCTAGCAAGAATTTTAGAGACTGGACAACGGACTCTGCAGAAGGTGTTTTCTTACGCTTTGAGACATTGTACTACTTTGAATGTTGTGCACCCATAATTCATCAAGTGTAGGATTTGTTTTTTGCTTGTTTTCAGCTCCTGTCCAAGAAACAACTGATTTTAGACAATTTTTTGATCGAAAGGGCATGGCTAGTTTTGTATGTGATGAGTGTAAAGCAAAAATAGGAAGGAAACTCCACGTCCTTTTAAATCTAAAAGTTGAGGTACTGCGTTGATTTTTATTAGTGATTAAAATGCCTGGTAAGAGTAACGTAATTAGTAGCAATGTTATTCAACCAACTCAATTTCTCTGGATCTGATATTTTACAAATCTGGCTGCAGGAAGCCGCGTGGGTAGTCTCTAACTTGGCAGCTGGCTCTATCTCACACAAAGTGGCAGTGTTCAAAGGGGGTGTTGTTCCTCCACTTCTGCATTTGCTAGCCACGTCAGCATTTGACGTTAGGAAAGAGGCAGCTTATGCCCTAGGGAATTTATGTGTGGCCCCACGTGAGCAAGGAGCAGAAGGAAAACCCATTTTGGAGCACTTGACAGTGTTGGTGGACCGGGGTTGCCTTATGGGCTTCATAGCCCTTGTAAAGTCTCCTGATTTAGAAGCTGCTAAACTTGGGCTGCAGTTTCTAGAGCTGGTAAGGAAAATGAATGTGACCCTAAATTTCGAAGTTTCTGTGCATTTGTTCTTATGAGAGTCTCATCCTCTGGGATTCAATTATATAGGTTATGCGGGCATTGCCTAATGGGAAAGGCCCAAAGCTTGTTGAGAAAGAAGATGGCATTGCTGCTATGGAGGAGCTTCAGTTTCATGACAATGAAGAGCTGCGTATCATGTCCAATATATTGGTTGATCAGTATTTTGGTGAAGACTACGGCTTCGAAGAGGAGCTTGAATCAGGTGATATGAGGACCGAGGATGACTCAGAGTATCCACCTTGGCGGAGAGGTGGGTTAGCTGGTTAATTAGGAGGAAATTTATGGATAAGCGGTTCGTCCAATCAATCTTAGTTGTGATGCTTGTAATGTAATCATATAGTTACAAAATCTGATTTGCACTTCTATGCTGAGTTCCTTCCTAGATAAAGATTAGGTCGTCAGCATGTCGCAATGGTTATGTGCTTACTGAAGATGGTGTGTACAGTCGATCTCAATTCAAGGTCACTTTTAAATTGCTACGATTGGTCTTAGGTCTCGGAATATCATTCAGGCACAGACCACATCAAGCACATTGGTTTGTTCAACTGGGTTGTTATTTCATACTAGACTATATCACAATGTCACCCCTTTTAGATTAATACATGTGCTGTGCTGAAGTTCTGAAAATCAAATCGTTCAACTAAATAGTATGTGTGTGGCCTCGCTTTCATCTTAACACGTATTGATGAAAGAGAGAATTGTAGTTTTTTTCATATAAAATTGAGTACCATTCCAATATTTCAAAACACGTTGCCTTTAATCAGGTGAAATTATGTATGATTTGGTTTGGTTTGGTGCCGAACCCAGCTTTGCGTTTGGATCACATCACGAATTACAAACTCAGAAGTTTTCAAACTTTATTTCAACACCTCATTCCAACCATGTTTATCAACATATCCTTAAATTCTATTAACAGATTCAACACGCATCAGATGCTAATCCGAACCAAACGTGCTAAATCAACATGCTATCGTATTACTCATGTAAGAAAACTAGGTTTCATGCAAAAATCTCCTCTTACGACATCATACACTTGTGTTATGAAAAACTCCAATTTCGACATCATTATATACTTTCAGTGTAAAACACGTTTAATCTATTAAAGTACAAGTTCAATGTATATTAGAGTGTGAATTAAAGTACATTTCAAAATACATGTTAAAGTACAATTCATATTGTGAGCAACCAAGTTTTAAAAGGTAATTCTTAATATGGAGTTTTTCAAATCTTCAACTTATTTGTATATTTCTCTTTCTTGTAGGATAGAACAATAAATCTTTCAGGATAATGGATGAATTTTATGAGATTAAATAATTATTTACATTTTGCATTTACAATAACATTTACTGGCTTTATTATTGTTGGAAACAAATTTCATGTTATTGTATGTTGTTTGTGTTCTTTTAAGCATATTAACAACAATGTAAAACATATGTTTACAAATGTTTCATTTAAAATTAATCTATATATTTTTTTAAGTTCAAAGTTTTTTCATGTTGTTTTCATAGATTTTAAATCAATTTATATCTTCACTTCAATTCAAAGCTCAATCAGAAAATTCTACTTCATAATGATTTCTGAAATGGTAGCATTTAAATTAGGTTATATATATATATATATATATATATATATATAAAATTTGATGGTTGATACAATAAAAGATTCATGTAAATCAAAATTGAAATTGAATTTTATTTATATTAATGCACTCTTAATATTGGATTGGGTTTTAATAGTATTATTTATAAAAAAAAAATTAAAATTAATATACAATAATAAAATTTCTACTTACTATAGTTTTAGTAACTATTTTTCTTATAAATTAGATAAATTTCTTATTTAAGTGGCTATACCTTCTTGGTTAAAATTAGAATGAATTATAATAATTATAAATATTTGAAGATATTTTTTATTTTTTTGACATTACAATAATAAATTAATAGATCCATTTTATTACTAAATAAATATTGATGGATATATTGTACTACTTGAACCTATATTGTAAGAACTATATATTTAATAACTCTTTTTAAAATTTAAAATTATATTACAAGCAATTTACTTCAGAATTAAATCATAATAAATAATACATGTTGCAAAGACTTGTATATATGTATTTATTTTTTATATTATAAATGAATTATATATAAGATAGTTAAATAAAAATTATTAAAAATATTATAGTACATCATAAAAAATTGTGTTGATTAAAAATTTTAAATAAAAATAAAAATAAAGATTATAAAAAAGACAATTTTGGAATAAAAATAAAAATAATAAATAATATTCATATTAATTATAACTAAATAATATTAATAAATTATTTGTATATATATATATAATTCTTAATTAGAAATTGTGTATTCTATTGATAGATAGGTTGTTGGCAATTTAGCTGCTATAAGTTGGTGGTATTAGTATATAGTCATATTACCTACCAACATTTTTCTATGGAACAATGAAAAAATTAAAACCTACATAAATCCAAGATTATAGGCTAGATGTATGTATTTTTTACTAAAAACTATTTATAATTATACTAAACAATTATGCTATAAAATCTTAAATCTAAAAATTATTTCAATTAGATTAGTTTTCTTAGATTTTTGTTTATTTATTGGAAGTTTTTTTGTATTAACATACTATGTTGTTACATTAGAAATATTTTCTTCTATATTTAATGACATGGTATCAAAGCTTGTTATTTTGGTTTTTTATTAGTAGATAGAATAATTATATAGAGAGTTTTTTGCAAGATATAATTTTTAATTATCTTAAGAGAGATTATTTTAGTAAAATAACTTTGAAAAACCTAAATTATCTAGTACTAGAAATTTTTAGCAATTATAAGATAAAACATATGTATAAAAAAAATTACAAAAAGCTCAAGTTAATATTTCTTGGATTTGAATCACAACATCTAACTAAATCTTCTAAAAGATGAAACAAAGGCTTTAAAATTTACTTTTTACAATAAAACTTTATTAATTTTTTTTGTAGGTTTAAATTATTTTTAATTAAATAGATAATGATTTATATACGAGTCATCTTTTATTTAATAAAGAGGTACTAATGATTATCCAAAACAAAAATATTTTTCCAAAAAACTATATTCTACTAAAAAATATATTTTTTAGCTATTAAATTATTTTGCATCTACTTATCTCTTTGTTGCTTTTTCCAATTTCTTAGATCAACAATTTTTTTAAAAACTCAATAGATTAATAATTAACATTTTAATCTAAATTTTCTTTACCAGAATTCAAATATCATATTTAAATTGAAATTTAGATTCTTTAATGAATCATATCATAAGTGAATAATTGATTAAATATCTCTACAGAAACATTTGTAGTCCTTGATTACCTAACTTATTCTCCATATGATTTACTTCAACTACATTCGTAAAACCAGATCACTTTTTCAACTGAATTATACTTTTCCCTTCAAAACCATGAGGCTACCACCATCAAATGCAATGATTGATCTCTTTCCTAAACCAATTTTCCACTCACAATTTGCACTTCACTAAAGCACAAAAACACACACACGCACACGTTTTGGGCGGAACTTTAGACAGAGCGTGAACTTGTTCATCTTATAATTGCAAGCCTGTCCATAGCAACGCTCTGATCGAAGTGTTGAATCATTCGTGTTTCTGAGGATCCTTGAAAGATCCCATACACACAGGCATTAGTCTGCACAATAGACCCGGTGGCATCATTCATTCCAGATGCTGCAAGACCCCGGCGGCAACATCAATCAATCAATCAATCAACGCAAAAAGAATGAGACCCTTGCACCACGATCCCACCCACAAGATAGCCTACTCTCTCTGTGGCATGCCTCCAAGGATGTGCGCATAATCACCGCCTGTCTCATCACCACCAGAACTGGCCCCGGATCCAAATCATGCATGATCTGATATGAAACTGACCAACTTTGCGCTTAGATTCCACCAGGTCCAGCATGTATCTGAACCCAGCTGGACATGGGATTCGGACTTCGAAGCAGGCAGCGACGAGTGTTCTGAGTATTATGAATTGGGGTGTAGGAATGGTGCCTTTTAGGGGGATTCGAGCTGCTGTTGTGGTCGCCGTTGCAGTAGTTCTGATGGCTTCCTCCGATCCGCGGTCCTTGTGCGTAGCCGATGAGGTTATTATTGTGAACGACATGAACATAGTTCTGGAGCTGCAGTGCAGGTCAGGAGACGAGGTGGACCTGGGGTACCGGACCATCGAACCTGGCTTGAGTTGGACGTTCAGCTTCTCCCCGAACTGGTGGAGCACCACCGTCTATGCCTGTGATTTCCACGCCGTAGGGTTTCCTCTCAAGCATACGAACGTCTACGAAGGCATCAATGTCCACGACAACTTCTGTCTGTGCGGGAATTGCCTCTGGAGGGTCTCTCGCGTTGGGTTCGACTGTGAGCGTGGACAGTACACCACGAAATGGAAGTAGACTCCATCGAACCCACCATTACTCTGTGATCTCACTGAACTAAAACAAAACTATTATCTATCTCTCTCTCTATATATATACACATTTGTAATTTTTTATTTAGGTAGGTGGTCAGCACAGAGCTGGACTGGCAGTTCAATGATGAGCAGTTATAAATGAACCAAGCTGTGACTAACATCGCACCAAGCATCAAAGGCTAGTAGCAATCTGAACATTTCATATGGAATGAGACAGTTAACGCAGTGATGTCCAGAACCAAACCAGCTGTATGCTGACCATGGATGTATGTTCTGGGATCCGATTTGGATTAATTAAAGAAAGGATTGGATTGCTTGTGATGCTGTGTGCAAGTGAACCACCCTGGAGGCTCTTCTGGAGGCAACGCTGTTTACTTCCGGTGCATGAAGGAGTTCTTAACTGATTAATCGTCCCAGCAAGGAAAGAATATATACACAAAGGAAGCCACTTTGAGAGTCACGAAATAGTGATTGAAATACACGGCTGATCACCGAAGTGGTCTAAGCAAAATAGAGGTAGCTAACGAAGAATTCTTGTCTAGTCAATTAATTCTAAAGTAAATCCTAAATCAGTTCTAACCACAAGACAACAAGTATAGTCGGAACCAATAACTGATTAAGTCGAGTTGATTCTAATTTTATCAGTATGTTCCAACATCCCTTCTTCGCCATTACTAGTTGGGGGAAAGATTGTGGTTAAAAGCCAATATACTAATTCTATATAATATTTAGTAAGATTCATTGGAAATATCGAAGTGAAGTAATTAGACTGGCTAGGAGGTGATTTGATGTGATTATTAAGTTGTCTATGTGTAGTAATTATAGAACTATTGTATTCTAATTAAAAAATGGATTAAAGTCCAATTGAGCTCCTATTCTTTTCAAACTTGGATTTGGAAAGGACCTTAGTGAGTACAACTACAATTTGATATTTTGATTTTAACATGATTGATTGCAATTTCTTCCTGAAGTTTTTTTTTTTTTTTTTTTTTTTTTTTTCCCACAAAATAATGATGTACCTCCAAATATTTTTTCTTTGTATGAAACACAAGAATTTTGGCTAGTTTGATTGTACTTATATTTTCATGGTAAAAATAGAAGCCTAGCCATGAAGATATTAATGTCTTTGAATAATCTTTGGTAATGTGTGCATTATTGCAACTTAATTAAGCAAATAGAATACAAGTTTGTTTTAGCTCTTCAATGAAATGTTTTAAATAGACTTCTTCTTGTGCATCTTTTGAGAGTATGTGTGGTTGCTCGTTTTACTTATTTCAAATTAATCTAATAGAAATAAACCCGTATATGGAGATTTGAACACAGGGAATGACTAGTTGCTTAAGCGTTCATGTTAGGGTCACACAATCAATTACCTCCTGAATGTATCGTCTCTATTTCCAATATCTGAACACACAAAGAAACTATAATCTCTTCCTTCACCTTATCGGTCTCTTCCTTACAGCAATTCAGTCATACCAATAACTACTATTTCCACCAATATATTCACCTTCATAATCTCTAATTGTAATACTACGCCCTCACAGCTTTCAGTATACAATTACCCTCATTCCAATCACTGGAATTCTTCACATAGAACTGCCATTCTCATTACGGTGTTTCACACAAACACAAACTCATTCTCTTTGCTGAACTACAATCAGATTTCAGCATTCAATCTTTCTTCTTCTCAAATAATACCAATCACATTTCCATTCCATAATTCACTTCACAATATTCAAAAACTTTCAATCCTCTTATTCAAAGAAAATAACAAACAAAAGAAAAGAGATAGCACCAAGCTTACCCCGGCTCATACTATCACAGCAATGGCACCTTAATTAACTTCTATAATTCCTATATAATTTTTCTTGATTCTCCAGATTCTAACTGTAATTCTATAATTAACCACTTTTAAGAACTAAATCACTCATCCGTCCTCCTAAATTTCCTATTATATAGACTATTAATATATTTTACCAATATCTTTAAAAAAAAAATTAATATCTATTCTACATAGCCCTATTCCTATCTGTGCAACATCCTCACAAACACTCAATTGATACCTATTTAAAATTATTTAACAAAACTCTACAAAGTTATTAGTTCCTCTGGCTCACGTAATTAATCATTTGTTGTATTATCTGTTATTGGTTCCATCGATTCCTATTCCAATTATAAATCTTTTTCTTCTTCCTCTAGTCCATCGAGTCCTTCCTCAACTCGTTTGATAGATCTTCATTATACACACCCAGTACATGGACTTGAGCATCTTGTTTCAAGATCTGGACATCCCGAAGTTCCAATTGTTGTTGCTGCTAACTCATCCATTCTGGAATATCTTCAATTGACACTTGTGACCAGCTCTTCACTGTTAACTTCTATTTGGAACTACTACTCTCGAAAACACAAAAAATATAAGAAAATGGCACTCCAGCCAATCCAAAATAATACCACAGAATGACTTTAACTGGTGCCCCACTCCTATTCTTTTACCTAGTGGTGATAACAACAACATGTTATCCATACTGTCCATGAAAAGTAATGGGAAGTAATCTTTATGGCCGCATTAAGTTTCCAAAAATCCTGACAAATTCGGATTTTTTCATTCTTCTTTGGTACCATCACGATTGGCAACACCCATGCACTATGCGGAATAGGGTAAATAAAATCCACGTCGAGAAGTTTATCCAATTCTTCTTTCACTAAAAGAGAATATTTTGGATTAAGCCAGTGTTGTCTTTGATGAACTGGCGTAACATCATCTTCAAGAATAATCTAGTGCTCACACACATCAACTGAAATTTCTTTCAAATCCGCATACGACCATGCAAAGGTAGATTTGTGATGGACAAAAAATTGTTTCTAAGCATCCAATTCTGTACCCATAATACCGGCATATATTTTAATTAACTATGGTATTTCGTTGATGTCCAAGTTAATGGATTGACACACAGGGTCTTCAACAACCTCTGATTTAATTATCTTCTCCTGATTTGAATATCTTGTATTATCCAACATATGGGAACGACCCAAATCTGGTTCTAATGTGATGACTCTATTGACTGCGAGATTGTTCATCCATTCAACAATAGCATGATCTTAGTTAGTTGCATCCTCCTGATGTAGTAAATATTCGCCGGAACCTCCACATTAGTAAACTCCTGCCTTTGCTATTGAAGTGTTTTGTCCTACTCCAAATTGTGGTGAACCTATAGCATCGACATCTTCTTCAATCGATTGACTCTCGTTGTCTGATGTAAATTTTGATTCTGGCAATTGAGATTCTTCATGATATTATATCGGATACATCTGTAGAATAATCTGGTCCCGACCTTTTCCAATTGTCAATGTGCCTCGGCCCCAATCGTTCTTAGCTTTGGCTTGATAAAGCCAAGGTCTGCCTAATAAAATGGGATACGATAATATAGAACTCTGTAATCGAAATATAATATAATCAATTTTGTATGTCAATCTTATAATTACAGTAGCAATATTTTGTAAGATTTCTATTGACTTTATCCAACTATGATCTGTCATTCACAAGACCAATGTCGTAGGTAGCAATTGCTTTAGATCCAAGTCCTCCATTGTATCTGCGTTCAATAAATTCACATTGGAGCCACCATCGACTTATACCCCTAGAATTAAAATGCCATCGATTGATACATCGATTGTTGGTACACTCAGATCTAGGTTTAAGCTAACTTCATGAATTTCTTCAGTATGGGATCTTCGTCATATTAGCGCTAAATTCAATGTAGATCAACATTCCGGTGCTAAAGCCAAAAGTTGCTTCATTGTAATTGAAGGCTGAATAACATCCAAATCCTTCAGAATATCGTAGGGTTCCATCTTAAGAGTAATTTCCAATGCTCTTTTGTGTTTCATTGGTTTCAATTTTACTCTATTCGGCAACAATTCCTTCCTGGCGATTCGGATTGACGTTGGTAACTTCGCCAACTTTTCTACCACTAAAGGTTCCTTTAATACATAAGATCTTTTATTAGGCTGTATATGTATTGATAGTTGGTCAATTGGGATCATTCTTCATGGTCCCGATAAATTGGTATGTGGAATCGAATTGGATTCTTCAGTCTGTTGAGGTCTTAATATAGAAATACGTCTCAATACTGATATTGATTCATTTAGCCCCATGGACGGTGCTACTTGCTCTCTTGCGATTAGTTCATCCAGGTCTTGAATTGGATTCTTGTCTTTTTGTTGGCCTTTGGTAAGCACTGCGTTCACCACCTCGACACAATGTACTGGTGAGTCTCGTTGAACAGGGCCTTTATTCTCCGCCGGTTGGATTGTTTGCATTTGTTGATCTCAATTATTATAATTAAAGGACGCATTGCACTGTTGATAAGTGTAACCAGACTGCTTACAATTTCCACATATTGGAGCATAGTCATCACTGGCCCTTGGATTAAGACATTCACTCGCATAATGTACGATTTGTCTGCAAAGATAGCATCAAAGTCGTCTTGTGCCAGCTCCTTCAGGGATATTGGGTGTCTCTACTGATATATAACGACTAGGTTTGTTCCATGTCGGATGAATAAAGAGTCCAGTTTGATCCATTGTTACTGTAGACTCTGGCATTGGCTTCGTCATGGATAGATATTGATGGTATTCTGGTTGGTTCATCGCCAATCCGTGAGTATTGGATACACCTTCTTGGTGAAATTCAGAGTTTAAGAAATTGGAATAGTTCTTATTTTGTTTATTCGCTTGATTTCTATTCCAACCAAACTTATTATTCGTTTGTACTTGATTGACATCCCACGAAGTTAGTTGAGTCATTATTTGGTTACTGAGTTGTAGTTGCTTCCTTAAATTCCAACAGTTGGTGGTAATATGCTTGCTCCCACAAAAAGTACATTGTACAGTCATTTGGGGAGGTGAAGGACATTCTATTACTAAATGACCTTGTCCCTTACAATTGTTGCACCAGACATTGGAATGCATATTGGTTGGTTTATGTCTTTTTTCTTTATCATTGGCCAGATTCACAGCCAATTCATCCATTTTTTTTGTCAATGTTAACAGCAATGAGTCATTGATTTTCCTTGATACCAATGCATTTGGCAATTTCTTCATAGGTATTGGTTTTTGATATGTGGAATAAGGCGCATACAGTTTGTGATGATGATGGTGGTACAACTTGCAATGGAACGGCATCCACTATTCCCTGTGGAATTGTACCATAATCATTCTTTTCCAAATAATCTTTCGATGCGTCAGTCCAATTTGTCATTTGATAACCTCTTTGAGATGGAATCATCGTGGCTCCAACTGTTAAGTTTTGGTCATAGTGACATTCCTCCCATACTTTTGCTCGCTTAAGAGATGATGCAATGGTGGCTGATTGGACTTCCTTTACAAACATCTTCAATTCTGGTGGGTGTAGTCCATTAACCAATATGGATAACACAAACGATTTTGACATTTGGTTATTTGGCCATTTTCGAAGTATATCTGCTATGCGACCATAATATGACTGTACCGCTTCCCCTGGTACCATTCTGCTATTCATTAATTTTTCTCTAAGATGTTTTTTAAAATCAATTGGTCAAAAATGGGCTAAAAATATATTTTTCAATGCCTCCCAATTGATAAATTGTGCCACAGGTTGGCGGTTATACCACTCAAATGCTATGTCTTTCAATGTCGTTGGCAGCCACCATAACCAAA